CATAGCAGCCCACTCTCTCTACTTCCCTTCAGCCTATGGTGGCCTGGTAGCTCAGTGCTACCCAAAACCAAGTACCAGTGAGAAGCTGAGAGCTTGGGTCATCTTTCCCCAGTATCATGTGGTTCTCCCTGGCAGGAGGGTGGGTCCCCAAAAGCTCAAAGATTTAGACTCCTTTGGTGGCCTCTGGCCTAGGACCTCTTTGCTGCTGCTGCAACACAGGGGTTAGATTAATTGTCCCAGGCCACCCTGGCTTGAGAAAGGGCAGTAGGTTTCCTGAAAGGGTGAGGAATGGAACCCTGGGTGTGAGGAGAGGCTGGCATCTTCTCTCAAGGCAAGGCCTGGGTGGGACTGACCCTGAGAAAGCTGGTGGCAGAGCCAGCTCCCTGGGAGCCACCCTGGAGAGAGAGGGTCACCCACCTTTAGGTTTCAATTCATAAGACTGTACAACCTGGGTGAGAAAGTTCTGTTTACTCAGCCTCCCCCTAGGCCCTGATGCTGCCAAGAGTATATAGGACTCTCGGGGTGGAGATCTCCTGCCCGTGGGCATGTCATTCCAGGGGCTGTGATGATAAAGACATCCTAGGACTCACTCAAGCAGGCAGCTGTTGGCTGGGCCAAGGATGGCAGGTCAGACTGTCTCCTGTCCCATCCTACCATGCTGGTGTCTGAGGGTGCTGCTCTTTCTGCTGTCTCGTGTCTAGGCCTTCTGGCTTTCCCGGGGTGCTCAAATATCCACAGGTGCAGTTCTTGGCCCTTGGGGACCCTGGCAGCAAGGAAAGCTCTGCCCACATGGGCCATGAAGGTCCATACATAGGAATTAAAAGGGTGTTTTCGTGTGGGAAGGAAAAGATGGGGCAGGAGGGGCTCAGGATGGTGCTGAGGGAGGGGAAGAAACCTTCAGGCTGTGTGCCCCGGGTGCCAACACCCTGGGGTGTGTGTAGTTCAGTGACAGCAGGAGTCAGGGTAGAGATGAGTGGGGAGCTGGGTGTGGGCTCTCAAGGAGGAAGGAACTGGAGCAGTTTGGATTTGCTTCTCCATCCAGGTGGGAGAGGTGCTAGCGGGTTCTGGTCCCTGGGGTGATGTGGCCTTGAAGTCTTCAAGGAGGCACTTCCAAGTGGTATATGTGGGACTTAGTGGGCTAGGCAAGCGGAGTCCGATTGGCCCAGAGCCGTAGGAAGTGGGGGACAGTGGCAGTGCCATTGAAAAGCTTTGGGTGGAGGTGAGTTGGGTGCTGGTGCCCTTGCTAGGCTGGACAGGACTGTGGTTGAATGGTTGCTGGCATTTGAGTCTGAGCAGCCCTGGGGATGTCTCTGAACACACGTGGCACTTCTAGGATGCAAACAGGTGTGGCTGAGGCCTGCAGCCGTGTGCAGTCTGGGACCAGGGTCACCCTTGGACAGAGCACAGGGCTAGAACTCAGGTGGGTTTTTAAGTAGATTGTGACTTGTAGAGAGTTCTCTGGTGTGCAGGCCTCTCTGTCTCAGCGGCTACTGCTTTTGGCCTGGATGCCCGTGGTGGTGGCCGGAGCATGGAGTCTTTGTGCTGACCCATGTGTAATCGTGTACCGTTACCCATCGAGCTTGGTTCTGAGGTGCAGGTGGTATTTGAAGCTGGATAATTCTGTGTTCCAGGAACTGCCCCGGGCGTTTGGGTTATTAGCTGTGTTTCTCTCTACCCTTGGGTACCAGTAGCATCCCGCAGATGGGTGTCCACAAGTGATTGTTTAGAACCATGCTTTCAGTGGAGTGCAGCATAGGTGGGTGACTTGGAGGGTCTGTCAGGCCTCTGAGCCTGTTTCACCTGTCCTGTGCCTTGGACAGGCGTGGTGTCAGACACCACAGTAGTGCCTGGCAGAGACCTCCAGGAAAGTACAGGTGAACAGGCAGACACGGGTGACCCGGAGTATTTAGGGCATACAGGATTGGGCAGGTCCATGGTGATTTGGCAGACCAGGAAAGCAGTCCCTGCTGTAGGCAGGTGTCCTTGAATGGGGCCATGGGGTGGCTCTGCAGGAGCTTCTGTTAGCAGACGCCACCCCTATAGGGATTGGGTAAGGGTGTTCCACAACATTCTCAGAGCCTCTGAGTGTTTGCATCCCTTGGCCCAGGTGGGGTCCCATTCCACACCCAGGTGGGGGCACCCACATAGGTTTTGGTGCTATCCGAAGGCCTCAGTCTTGCCTAGTGGGGAGCAGGCATCCAGCAGCACCCTCTGTCAGAACTCTGGTTTCAAGAGAGTCAGGCCAGGCTGGAAGACAGTGCAGGAAATGGCCCTGGATCCCAGGCTGAGGCAGGTGCAGTTTTGGCTGCTGTGAGGTCTGCTGCTGTGCAGGTTTTGGTCTCAGCAAGGGCTTAGGGATATGGTGGGTAGCTGAGTGATGACGGGAAGGAGGAGGTAGAGGAGGAGCCCTGCTTCCCAGTCCTGTCTTGCTCACTCCTGCCTGGCCTTCCTCCCTGGTACCCACTCAGGCTCCACTTTGCTAGTGGACTCCCCTAAGCTCTGGCTTCTGTCCTCTACCGTCTCCTGCAGAGCCCAGCCATGTGTTCTGCTCGTGGCTGCGTGCTGGCAGGGATCTGAGGAGGAGCATGCAGCCCAGAGGTAGGGTTGGAATCCACATCAGTGCCATTCCAGTCCAGGAAGCTGGGCAGACACCTACCTGGTGCTCCTGAGCCAAAGGCTGTTTGACCTCACAACTGCAGCTAAGTGCCAGACGGCGCGTAAAATGCTGACCACTGCTGGTGAATGGTATCCTGGCAACATCTGGTCAGCTGCCCCTGCCTTTTGAAAGTGCAGAGGGCAGGCGGGTGCAGAAGGTCTCCAAACAGTGTGCAGGGTCACACCTGTGTCAACTGTGCCTTCTTGGTGTGCACTCCAGTGGCTTTCCTAGCCCTGCCCTGGCCTTGCCTATGTCCCTTTGGTACATGTGTTGTCTGGGCTGCTGTCAGAGCTGGGGAGATAGATGGGTCAGTAGGTTAAGTGCTTGCCTCACTAGTGTGATGGCCACAATTCAGATTCCATGGCAGTCTCATTGTAATCCCAGCATGCAAAAGACTGTAGAATCTCAGGTCTGAGTTCCAGTGAGAGGGACCCTACCTCAGTACGTCAGGTGGGGAGTGATCCAGGAAGACAACCTGGCATCCATCTCTGGCCTATTTGTACATACATAACACTCAAATTCGTTGTTGTGATACTTGCTGCTCACCTCTCTGCCACCCCATGCTTCACCACACAGAGGCCACATGTCACTTGTCCATTTTTGACTTAAAGGCGGGTCCTGCCCTGTTGCTGAAGACTAGAGCTCTTTTTTTTTTTTTTTTTTTCTTAAGTAGGGTTTTTCTATGTAACCCCTGTTGTCCTGGAACTCATTGTGTAGCCCGAGCTGGCCTTGAACTCAGAGACCTGCCTGCCTGTGCCTGCCCAGTGCTGGGATTAAAGGCATGCACCACCACTGCCCAGCTGACTAGAACTCTTTTAGTTATGATCAAGTGCTCCTCAGCCTTCCAAAGACTTCAGAGCCCACACGTGGAGCCCACCTCTTTCCACTGTCTCTGCTAGGTGTTCCCCACCCATACCTTCCTTGAATGTCTTTGGGAAGCCCTCATCTCTTGGACCTGTGCGTGTTAGGTGACTCAGCTTGGAGTCTGCAGCTCATCCATCCCAGTTTTCTTTCAAAGGTGTTAGTTGCCGCTGGCAATGGCCTGGATTGGGTGGAGGTGGATGCCATGCACTGGGTGACCTTGGTTATTCATGATGTCACACAAGCTGTTGGGTCTCACTGAGCATGTCTCTCCAGAGAGATGTGCACATCCCACTCTGTAGGTCTGTGAAAAGGTGGGGTGCACACGCATACGCCCTGGTGTGTGTGTATTTGCGCGCGCGCTGGGGAACAGTTAAGTTTTTTCTTTTAGACCAAAGCTCTCTGGAATTAGGCTGTGTTCTAGGCCTGACTTAAAGACGTTAAGGGAAGCTGAGGCTCCAGCTGGCCCAGAGGCACAGCTTGGACACAGCATGAGAGTGAGCGAGCGATCTGTGTGCTGACACCTTGGTGGCTTCTTGTGATACAGTGTGGGGTGCTGCTGCAGACATGTCTGAGGCCCAGACCTGCCCAACAGGAGGCTGACTGTGCAAGCAGTCCCAGCAACAGGCCCAGTGCCCTCTACTTAACTTCCTGATGCCTAGCCTCAGTTTCCCCCTGCAGCAGTGCTGTGCTGAGGCTACAGCCAAGAGTAGCAAGTAGTAGCGGCTGAGGGTGTGGAGAGGAGCTCAGGTTGTAAGCTGCAGGACCTATGTGGTCACTTGGCACAGGGTACTCAGTCTCCTGACTTTAAAATGGGCATGTTGGTACACAGTAGATAATACTGTGCACCTTAATACTCAGCAGGGTGAGAGCCAAGCGTACCAGCAGCCGTGAGCCCTCCGTCTGCAGTGGGCGCACCTGTCTGTCTGTTACCCGAGTGTTTGAAGTAGGCGCACCTGTCTATCAATGCATTACCTGTGTGTGTGTGCTTGCAGTGGGCGCACCTGCAGCCCTGCTGTCTCCCCTAGCAAGAGTTTAGGAAGGATTTCATGAGTGAGGCGCCTCCTGCTCTCTGGAGGTATGGGTCGCTAAGGAACATGAGTGTCACTAGGAGGGGTAGGTACCTGGCATGTGAGCTGCACTGCTCCCCAGGATTTTAACAGGCTTTGAGCTCTGCCAGCTGCCCTCTCCTCACAGCCTTAAGACTTCCAGTTTAAACAAAGGCCTGTATTTCTGCCTTGTACCGTGGGTCCTGTGGGAGATCCATGGAGGGGGCGGTCCCGGTCTGAGGAGGAGGATACTGTGAGAACAGACGTTAAGTGGCCTGTGGATTGATGGCACTGTCCATGCAAAGGCCCGAGTGTCGGAGAATACCTGACATGATGTTGCTGCAACTGTTTTGTAGATGGGGTTGCAGAGTCCATCCCCCCCCCCCCCCGCCATCCTGTTCCTTTCTGCCCCTGACGCTCTGCTTGGCCCACAGGCTGACCCCCCACTACATCTACCCGCCAGCCATTGTGCAGCCCAGCGTGGTGATACCTGCCACCCCTGTCCCACCTCTGTCCTCGCCCTACCTTGAATATACGCCAAGCAGCCCAGCCTATGCCCAGTTCCCTCCAGCCGCCTACGACCAGTACCCATATGCCGCCTCACCTGCCACAGCCACCAGCTTCATGGGCTATGGCTACCCAGCTGCCATGCCCCCAGCCTTGTCCGCAGCTGCGCCTGCAGGCACCACCTTCGTGCAGTACCAGGCACCTCAGCTACAACCCGACAGGATGCAGTGAGGCGCGTCCTGCCTAGGGCCACAGCCACCGCCTGCCAGCCTCGGGAGCCACCAGCAGTTGGGTCTCCTCAGGCCCCTGGGCCCACCTGCCAAGGGCATCAGACAGCTGCTTCTCCAGCCCAGACCCTGCTGTGCCCTGAGGAAGGACATGAGAAGTAGGGGTTCACTCTTGGGAACCTCTGCAGCCACTCCATGCCAGGTGCCTTACTCTGGGACGTGTGCAGACGTCCACCTTCCTCTTTGGGAACCCCGCCCATTGCCCCTCAGTCGAAGCACTGTGCCATGTCCTGTTGGGATTGTTCTGCTATGAAGGCAAGACCATCAGCACCAAGAACCCTAAACCCATTTTTTACTTAGAAACTGGCTTTGGTCGATAGTTCCCCTGTGGAGACAATGACAGTATTTCTCTGTGACAGTGTCACTGGTGGGATGCCTGGAGCTACCCCTTCCCGCACAGGGTGGCCATCACCAGACTGCAGCCCTGCAGGGCCCTGGGTTCCTATCTGTCTGATGCTGCCCACCTCACCTGCAGAGGTGCTCGTCAGGGCTAATTCTCAGGTGTCTATTGCTGTGCCATTGAAGCCTTCTTCCTGGCCCTGCGTCCTCTAGGCAGGGCTCTGTGTCCACCCACCCACCCTCCTATTGTCACCTGTGTGCCGGTCTGGGAGCATGGCCTGGCTGCGCTGCGCAGAGGGAGAAGTCCAGCCCATGTCTGGGAGGGGTGCAGTGGGCATCCCTGGCAGCATGAGCTGCCCGCAGGCTGGGCAGTGGGTCCCTCCACACCTACCTCAGGGAGCCAGTGTGAAGGCACTCGGCAGCGTGCCTGCTACTCAAGCCCAGAGGACAGAGGGAGTAATGTTATAATATTTTTATTAGAATGTTCTGATTATAAAAATAAAACTTGTTTTCTTTAAAGAAAAGTCAGTCTGAGGTTTTCTCTGGTGGCCATGGCAGTCCTGTGTCCAGGGTTTTCTGATAGCTGTCACCAAACCTTACCCCGCCCCCCAGTATGTCCCTGCAGTCTGAACCGGAGGACTTCAGCCACCACAAGGTAGGTACAACCAGGCCTGGGCAGAAGTCGCTGCTGTTGACCCTGATACTCAAGCCTTTAGCAGTGACCCTGGGGCTGTTTTTTTTTTTTTGCACTGTCCCTTGGGTCCCCCAGGATCCTGTTCCAGTTTGACTGGAACTTAGTTTGACTTTGAGATGTGACTTCTTCCGGCTTCTGGGGCCCCAGCCCAGCTGGGCCGTCAGGATTGGGTTTGCTTTCATCCCGGGCCTCCACCTCCCCAAGTGTCAGTTTGCAAACACTAAAGGGTCAGAAGGTCAATGTGGGGCTCTCAACCCACAGCTGACATTTGCTGTTGCTGATAAGAGTTTGGGGCTAGGGAGGGGTGGCGGGCACTGCCAGGGTTATCAGGAAGGCCACTCGAAGCCCGTATACTTCCTGTCTCTATCAGCTGGTGGCAGCCACAGGGACAGGCCCTCAGGAAGGCCCCTTGGCCTGGGAAATGCCCTCCTGGGGCTTAGGATCGAGGTCTCTAGACAGGGCGAACCTAGGAGAGTTCAGAGACAGTTTTGGGTCGGGAATGCGGCAGGGTGTTCGGGCAGCACAGCCACACTGCTGTCAGTAAGGGCAACGATAATTGCTATCCTTGCTCTAGGGCAGTTCCCCACAAGAGGTCCCCAGGTACAGGTGACAAGCTGCAGAGTCACCCACCATTGTCCCTGGTGCAGTGTGGTGAAAGGTCTGGTTAGGAGAGCCCACACTGTCCCATGCCAGGGTTTTTCACTGCTTCACCTTCCAGTGACAGGATTTCTGTCCTCTGTTCCCAGCTGCCAGCACTGAGCTGGTACACAGTGTGACCCAGAGGAGGCACAGGTTCGGTCCTGCCAGAGGGCCAGACACACTCCCTGCAAGCATATACTTACAGGCTGCACACACATTAGTGTGCTCACCCTCCTCATAAAGGTTCAGACAGACACATGGATACAGCATTGCTCATTCCTCGTGGACATTCACACGGATACACGCAAAGCTACACACACACACACACGTGTGTGTGTGTGTGTGTGTGTGTGTGTGTGTGTGTATTTGAAGATTATCTACACACACACACACACACACACACACACACACACACGTGTGTGTGTGTGTGTGTGTGTGTGTGTGTGTGTGTAGATAACCTTTCACAAGCACACAAGCACACCTGATTCAGCTCAAATGCACACTTGTACAGATGTCTGCAAAGCAGCATACAGGCATGCATGTATGCACACACACCCCAGCCCCAGGCGCACTGGATAACATAAGTAGGGTCCATGTGTGTCATCTGTGTTGTGTGGTAGGTGAGGACCATGGCCTCTGGGGCAGAGATGTGGCTACAGTTTTGAGCTGGAGTCACTTGGGGAGAAGCTAGATCTGGCTGGGGTGGTGCAGGGGGTGTCTGGATGGCTGGACAAAGAAGGAGGACCCCAGACCCTGGGCTGGACCTTCTCTCTGCAGCGCAGTCAGCTACCACTCCTTGCCGGAGCTTTTCTTTATAGCCTAAGTGCAGGTGGGCAGCAGGCCAGGTAGAGTCGGCCTGAACCCCACCACTGTCATATAGGGACAGTTCAGTTGAGTGTCATTTGCCATGTTTGCCCAGAGCCCAAAGCATAACTAAGGTCCAGTTGCCACATGGCCGGCTGCATAGTCTACATCTCTCCCCTACCCTGGGACCTGTCCTGTCCTGGGACCCCCCATCCCTGGGCACCCACTGCTGTGAGAGGCTTTCAGGCCTTGAGATGTGTGAGTCACTGGCAGATGCTAATCGCTCTGTCCAGACTTCCAGCCTCCAAGTACTGGGCTACCTCTAGTCATTATCTCAATCTAAGAGAACTCAGGAGTGGCCTCCCACAGCCTGAGGACTCTGGCTAGGGGTGGGAACATGCAGGCTCAGAGCTCTTAGGCCTTTAGTTTGGAGCCTATGGCCCTAGGTGCTCTCTTAACTCCTGGGTGTCTGGCACTCTAGTGCAGTCCAGAGCCCTAGGAAGGGAGCCACACAGTGGTGGTGAAACCCCTCCCTGCTTCTCTGCAGGCCTGCTCAGTGCCCTCTTGTGCATGTGTTCCTAGTTCCTTTTGGGGCCTTGGTTTCCTCTCTGCACAGGCTAAGCTGACCCTGAACCCCTTAGCTTCAACTTCAGCTTTATTGGGCCCAGTGGTCTCCCCTTGGCTGAGCAGTCATTCACTCTCGTCTACCCCAACTATTGGTTTAGACATGGGTGTAGGCCGTCTGGGTCACAAGAGCCACACAGGCCTTCTGGAACTCCAGGAAGAAGGGGGACTTCTCTGGAGGAAGCAGGCTGGGAACAGATAACCCCAAGTTTCTATGGGGGAGGAGGAGGTGTATGCTGATGGACAGGCAAGGAGAGCTGGGAGCCAAAGGGTCTCTGTGGCCTCTGAGGTGACCCCTGTGAGGTGGCCTCTGGGAGGTTACCCCTGGGAGGTGGTCTCTGGGAGGTGATCTCTGGGAGGTGACTTCTGTGAGTGACCTCTGGGAGGTGACTTCTGGGAGGTGACCTCTGGGAGGTGACCTCTGGGAGGTTCCTAGGTCTAGTTGTCCAAGCCAACTGCTTCCCCCTTGCTCTAAAAATGGCCCTCAGGGATCCATTTCCCTTGTTCCTGAGGGCAGAGGCCAGAGTAGGCCTTTGTAATTCTGTAGTGTTGAGATAGTATCTGCTCTTGTCTCTGCTTCCACTGCCTCAGGCCCTCATTGAGACCCCTTGCAGGCAGTGTGATGGACAGCCCTTTCTTGAGGGGAGCTGGATTGGGGGCAGAGTGAGTAATCTGTTCCAGGCTTCAGCCTGCCTGCACCCATGAGTGCCAGGTAGAACATCTTGGCCAGTCCTCTCCTGTGCCTCCACTCCTCTATCAGGTGTGCAGGCTTCTCTCCTAAGGACCTGGTGCAGTCAGGATGCAGTGGGAGGGGCCAGTGTTGGGTCCATCTCTGGCTCTGCCACTCTAGGGGTTGGGCATGATGGCTGGAGCTCCAGCCATAGTTATCTCTCCTACAAACTGGCTAATTACCGAGTTGCTGAACAGAAAGGGGGAGGATTTGCTAACGGTTAGTTGATGTGAGGTAGGCGGTTAGTTGATGTGAGGTAGGCGCTCAGCCCACCAGCCCCAGGAAAGACTGAGCAGTCAGCAGGGGGGAGAGGAACACTTGGTTCTGTGAAGTCACCCTTGAGCTCAGGCCCCTACTCCCCAGAGAGGGAACTCACGGTTCCAGCTACCCACAGCCACACTGCTAGCTAGCGTCAGCCTCATGTCTCCAGAGCTCAGCCCGAGAACTCACGGGCTCCCCTCTGATGTCTCCCAAGACCCTGGCATCCCTGGTCCCTGTGCCAGGTGGGTCGCCTACACAGAGAAATCCAGCTGTGCCTAGATGCTGCCAGAGTGCTGGAGAGTGACTGGGCTGGATTTAACCCAAGCACCTTGAGTCTAGCCACATAAGACTTCACCAGGTTCAGGCCACCGCCCCATTTCTTCCACCTCACCCACAGCCAGCTGGGCGTCACCCCCACCCATGGCCCTCTGTGCCTGCTGAGTCACACTGGTGTTTTTCCTCAGACATGTAAACACTGAATGTAAACACAGGCAACAGGTTGGAAGTCTAGATACAAAACTGCCCAGGGCTCCCTGCTCTGGGTGTCATCACGGGCAGTGGTGGGGGTGGCACCTGCCCTCTCAGTACCTCCTGGGGTTGCTGATAAGCGTCAGGCTTTGCTTATCAACCTGTTATTCTGTCCCTGGGTGCTCATGGGGGGAGGGGCTGAGAGCAGAGATGGGGAGCCCCTACCACCCCACCCCCAGTTGCTGCATGACCCATGGCTCAGAAAACCCTGGGTGCCACCTGCTGGCCCCTACCTGTCGATGGGGGCATTTTTAGAGGAATTTTAAGAATAGAGAGATTGTTCTAAATTATACATATAAATAGTCCTGCTAGAATCTGGGTATGTGGCTTAAGCCTATAATCTCAGTACCAAAGAGACTGAGACAGGAGGATGGCCTTGAGTTTGGAGCCAGCCTGTTTTGGAGTGAAACCCTGTCTCAAAAGAAATGTAAGTAAATAAATGAATGTATGCCATTGCAATACAGGTAAACATACTCTGATAGAGAGGCAATGTGGGTGATTTGTGCACACGCCTGTGTGTACAGAGAGAAGACATTGGCTGTTTACTTTCCTGAATTTTTTGAGACAGCTTCACTGGGTATCCCAGGCTACTGCCTGGAACTGGGGAACCTCCTGCCTCAGCCTTCCACCACACAGGATGCAAGATTTGTACTTGGGGTCAAAGGAGAGTGCAACACTAAGCCACAAAGTTTGGGGGAGGGTTCCTTATATAGCAACTGATCCATATAGCTGAGGGCAGAAAAGAACTTCTAGAATGAGGAGACAGCACACAGAAGTCATAAAGTATCTTGGAACCCCACCTCAGAGGGCTTCGGGTGCCCCTCAGTGTTAGAGTGGACATGGGCAAGGGGTAGATTCCACACCACACACACGTACACGTGTGTTCGTGAATCCTTGGTGGCCTATCCAAACAGCTGGCTTCTAGACAGTGATTTCTCGTTTAGGGTTAATTCTTTCCTCCCTTACAGCATGATCTACAGGACTCTGCCTTTTGCCCCTCTGGCAAAATTTGCACAGACACCCCCACACATACACACACCAGCTTGGCTGAGCCCCTCCTGCAGCCAGGTTTTGTGTAGCTGTTCAAGGAAGGCTGTCATACCCCATCTCTTGCCGCCCAGCTGACCACATCTGTGTGAGGCCGAGGACTGGCTCAGTGACGCGGTGGGCCCTGTTGACCGCTGGCTTCAGATGCTGAGCCCCAGAACAACCCAGAGGCAGCTTCAGGCCCCGAGGAGGACCTTTCACATTAGCCTTCAGGGGCAAAGAGCAACAGACATCGTCTCCGAGCAAGCACGGTGTGGCAGCGTGTTCAAAGTCCCTGTGCCGTTTCCACCTGGAAGAGTGCTGTGCTCCTGAGCAGATGACCTAGAACCTTGTCAGGAGGTAAGTACCGAGGGGGAGAGATGAGAGAGAAGAGCTTGCTGCTCATCTCTGGATGGTAGCCAGGGAGGCCTCCATGACGAAGAGCCACAGAGAAGGGCAGGCTAAGAGCACATGGCAGAAAGAACATGCGAAGGTCCTGAGGTGGGCTGGGTTTGACACATGAGAGGAACGGGAGGCGCCTACTGTGACTGGTGGGGAAGACAACCGGAAGTGAAGAGGTCATCTCTGGGCCTATTTGAAGGGGAAACGGGCTGGAGAGATGGCTCAGTGGTTAGGAGCACTGACTGCTTTTCTGGAGGACCCAGGTTCAATTCCTAGCACCCTATGACAGCTCACAACTGTCTGTAACTCCAGTTCCAGAGGATCTGATGCCCTCACGCAGACATACACTCAGGCGAAACACCAATGCACGTGAAATAAAATTAAAAAAAAGATTTATGAAGGGGAATGACAGACCAGGCTGAAAGGTTGGTTGAGGGTCAAAAACAATGGGTGGCACTTTCTAGTCCTGAGCTACAGAACACTGGG